AGGAACGACGATGGAAGAAGAGTCACGCAGGAGCTTTTCCTGATGTTATAATTATATATAAGCTCCAGGGTTCAGTGGGGCGCCCCCCTAGCGTAGGGGGGGCCGTGGATCCCCGGGCCCCTTTTAGAGGCGTCCGCAGGGGGTGGAAGGCTTCCAAAGGGATCCAAGGGGCCTCCTCCGCTCCCTTCCAGCTGCCTGCGTGTACAACCCTACAAGCCTCCTACTTGCTTCGCCTCCGCCGCAGTGCGCCGGTTGTGGAAGGCCTCCAAAGGCGGCAAAAGAATAAGAAAGCCGGACCCCCTGAGCCGTGTGGCCTGTACCCTCCAAGCCCTTGGCCATGGGCCTGCGTGCTTGCTCTTGAGGCCGTGGCCGCCTTTGGCGGCCGTCTACCCCTGAAGGAGGCCTCCAGCCTGCGGGGGTCAGCCGAGGCCAGGAGGTCGCTAAAGAACACGCAGAGGGGCGCAACGGGACGCCCGCGCCAAGTTTTGACGCCTTCCGCCCCGAGAATCCGCGAAAAACCGCCGGGAAAAGAGCACGCAAGCGCCACCACAAGGCCATCCACAGGGGGGGCCGTGCGTCCCTGTGTCATATATGATCCAAGGCGCCGGGCGACGGCGTCCCCCCCTAGCGTAGGAAGGGGGTACCGTGCAGCCCCAGGCCCCTTTTTAAGGCGTCCGCCGGGGGTGGAAGGCCTCAAAAGGGGGCCAAGTGAGTCCCCTTCTCCGCTCCCTTCCAGCGGCCTGGCTGTTGCCTACAGGCCTCCGACGTAGGTGAGAGGCCCCAAAAAGGGCCCAAGGGACCGCCTGCGCCCGCGTCCAGGTGCCTGCCTGTGCCCTAAGTGCCTCCGATATGCTTCGCCGCCGCAGCAGTGCGCCGGCTTTGGAAGGCCTCCGAAGGCAGCAAAAGGCGAGGGGCTGGACCCCCTGACCCGTGCAGCCTGTACCCTCCGGGCCCTTGGTCATCGGCGGTTTGCTTGCCCTTGCGACCGTGGCCGCCCTCGGCGGCCTTTTACCCCGAAGACCTCCCGCCCGCGAGGGTCAGCAGAGGCCAGGAGCTCCCTGGGGAACCCGCTAAGAGGAGCAGGGGGAGGCCCGCGCCAAGTTTTGAAGCCTTCCACCACTAAGACCCGCGAAAATCCGCGCGGAAAAGCGCGCGCGCGCCACCACAGACCATACCACGGGGGGCACCGTGCAGCCCTGAAGGATATATAACTACACAAACGCGGGCCCTCGCCTCTCTGTTATGGGCGTTCTGTAAAAGAGAAGAGTTTAGAAGGCGTACTCCAAGAGGGCTCCCGTAAGCCGCCTCCTTGAAGAGCTCGCAGACCTCTCTTCGGGCTTTTTCCGAAGAGGCGCCAACCCGTTCGGGCCACCTGGTAGAGATTATTACACATTTGGACTCCATGGCCGTACTTCGAGACACTTGCCCCGCAATATGGTCAAGAAGTCCAAGCGTCAGCCAACAACTGGAAGGGGCTGTCACTCATTTGGACTTCATGGCCACAACTCTTGCCACGAAATATGGCCAAGGACGAAGTCCAAGCTTTTGGCAACAGCTGGCGAACCTCAACCGTCAGCGGCCTTCGTGGAAAAATCAATAGCGGTCCAGCTGGGCCCTCATGGCTATACTTCAAGACACTTGCCCCGAAGTATGGCCCTGAAGGCCTCCACCTGTTGTCACGAGGTCCGTGGGGCACGAGGTCCTTGGACTTCCCGGCCATATTCCGTGACCAGTGTCACAAGGTATGGCCATGAAGTCCAAATGCGCCAAGACTGACTGAGCAAGAATGAAGGCGACCATTGATTTGTAGCCAACAGGTCCTTGGACTTCCCGACCATATTTCGCAACACTGGTCACGGAATATGGTCACGCAGTCCAAATCAATGAGAAACGACTGCTCAACAGTGAGGGCCTCCACCTGTTTCCGCGAGGTCCTCGCGGGGCCTTGTTTGGACTTCATGGGCATACTTCGGGACACTGGTCACGAGATATGTTTGGGAAGTCCAGGGACCTCTTGGCAACAGGTGGAGGCCTTCATGCATTTGCGTTTGGACCTCATGGCCATACTTCGTGACACCAGTCACGAAATATGGTCGGGAAGTCCATTGATTCGCGCCTCACGAATGTAGAACAGTAAAAACGCGGCGAGTAAGCTAGTGTAAACAGCACGCTCGGCGCTCTCCGCGCCGCCAAAAGACTAGGCTGGCGGCGCTCTCTGCGCCACCGCTAAGGTTAAGGTCTAGTAGAAGTTACACTTAAATCCATCTTCAAGATGAATGAGATTAAGTTTAACTAAGTGAGTCAACAAATTAAAATAATTCGATCCTTAATCATTCGCTTCCGCGGCCCGATCTCGCATCGATTGCATCGGATAGGTCCCACCGAGTCCTACGGAACAGATTGCTTTTTTAGCTAGGTCTTGAACGTTGTACAAAATGTAGGCTGGCGCTGCTCCGTTATTCTCTCGTATTTTGCGCCTGCAACCTTCAGCAATTACGTCATCAATTTCAGCGGGTGTCCACGAAACTGGCGTTCCAGCAGCATAGTTGGCTAGTTCGGCGACAAGGCCTTGCTTTTCCGCCTCTGCAAAGCAGTCCTCCAGAGACATTGCGGGATACACATCTCGGCCGACCACCTGCCCACCTCCGATCTCCCGCAGGTGCTGTCTAATGAACTGCACATCCGATTCCGAGTATGCAACTTGGTCTGGTTGAGAAAGTCCTAGTTGCGACAAATTGCGTTCAAGGTCCTCGTGCGCCTCCAGTACGAAACCGTGCAAGTTCTCCTCCGAATAATTCAGCCCTCTTAGCTCTTCCAGTACCTCTTCTAGGATGGGTATCGTGTGCTCTGCCAAGCTCGAAGACCATGCGGCAGCCGCGCCTTTCTCTTTCATCAAACGATAAAGCTCAATCTGCGGTTTATTCACCCTATCTACATACTCCTTCGGAACTATGCCCCTATTGACTTCGCCTTGCTCCATTATTTTACTGATTGACAAACACATGCCAGGTGGTGGGGCGCCAGTGCCTTTCCGGAATTCACTGGCTCGGTTCGGTAGATGATCAGGAGTTTTAGTAAAGCGATCAGTGACAGCTCCAGAAAGCACCATCGGGATCCTGGTCGCGGGAGGAGCCATCCCGTGCATCTTTTCTATGGAGGCCCACCCTTTTTTCATATCTGCCGCGTACGCGCTCCCGCTTTGCCCTCCTTGTTTCTTTTCGAGATTCGGAAATTGGTTTGCAGATAGCTTTCTCAAAAAAGCACCTTTCGCCAATGGACGAGCTTCACATTCACTCGGCGAAACGGTACCACCATCAGTCGGCGAATCGGCACCAGCAGCCCTCGTCAACGTGGTATCCGGAAACGATGTGGGCACGGAGGCAGCAGCAGCGAGAACGTTGACTATTGGAGGAGTTGTGCCAACATGATCGTCCTCATGCTTATCTTCTCCATCAGGTAGAACATCCTCAGCACCTCCGGTCGAAGGAGAAACAGGATTTATCGGGGTGTTCGGCGGTGGACGAGCACGAGTGGCACGAACTCTACTTCCGGTGTTGGTAATGGTGGTAGAATCAGGGTTGGAGGTTGTCCACGTGGATCTGCAACTGGAAGTGGACCTAAGAGTGGAAGAGGTAGTAGGCGTTGGTGGTGGCACGACGGGTGCAGCTGGAGCGGCAGCGCCGTGTTGTGTTCCTCCAGCCGGAACAACAGCGACCGCCGGCGACGGAGCGGCAGCAGCACTTGTAGCAGCAGCCGCTGCAGACTTCGCACTAGCAGCAGGGTTAAGCACAGCAACAGGAAATAACGTGTTCGGTCCTCCAGAAGTACTTCCACGCACAACCGCAGCGTTCACCTGAGAAGCCTGCGCCGCCCTGTAAATGCCATACGTGGTACCAGCGATAGCGCCGGTTCCGACAACAGCACCTCCGGCCACGAGTCCAATGGTGGCTGCGGACCATCCTCCGCCTCCGCGTGGCGCGACCTGTGGTGCACCTCCTTGTTGAGCGACCTGTGGTGCACCTCCATCTTGGAGAGGAGCTCTTGTAGACTCTGCTTGTCGTCCAACGACCATTTTCTTATTCTTTGTGTGTAAGGTAGTTCTAGTTGTATGTTGTTGTGCTTGTGGGGTACTTAAACTTATTTGAAGATGAGGTACTAGTTGTGGAAGTAATTCGTTGAGATAGCTGGCGATGAGGGTGTTGCACTTGCAAGAACTGAACTGAAGGAACTTGTTTGTTTATCAATAAATTGATTCTAGGACAACAAGAAAACCTAGTAAACCTTAACAAGTAAACCAAGTAATAGTAAACCCAAGTAAACCTAATCTGATAGAAGATTCTAAACCAAATAATGAGTCTACTTGTAAGTTCTTGTAGTTTGAGAAGTAGAAGATTAAGAATTCCTTATGAGCGAAATCCAAACGCTACAGAAATCTTGTTTCTTTTTGACTCAGCCTGGTACATTAATCGAGCGCGACGTATATAATTAACAGTATGCAGGAGCACTACTTGAGGAGGTATTAAGAGATGAGCGAACTTTAACAATATATAAAGATCGAATTCCAGTGAAGAGTCGTACTGTCATTTATTTGAGCGCGAACGCATAAAGCTTCTGATTGCAGGAGCATGGACGAGTCGGCATAACCTCCATTCACTTTCTGATCAGCAATTGTTGGAATTCTTGTGTTTTCATTCGTATGATCTTCCACATATTTTTAGTATTCCTCGGGGAAGGACCTGGTGGAGGACCCTCCTTTTCTTTATCTTTAATAAATATTTATAAATGAAGTTAGATCAACGTCATGTTTTTGGAGAAGTAAGTTCTCTGTTTGTATCAACAAGAGGACCGACACCAAAGACCTTCTGGTTCTTGTTCTGTTGTTGAAAGAAGAACAAGAATAAGAAGATGAGTGCTGCGAAGATCACGTCCTCGAAGAACAGCTTCATGGAGGTGTTCAATTCTCGATCAAGGAACACATCTCCTTCTTCAGATCATCGTCAATTCTACTTCATGGAGATATGTTCTCATAGGACGAAAATGGGTGGTCTAGGGAATGTCGACCCTCCAACAAGTACAATTCATTCTTGTCATACTTGTAGTTGTTGGTGGTGGGACTATAATCGTGGTCCGCCACCTTGGCCTTTTAAAACTATTCTATAAAAAAATTCAAATTTCTCTTCGCTTCATCACGACCACAAGAACTTGCTCAATCAACATGATCGCGGTAGCACCTTCTCATGAAAACAAGTAGATCGAGATCAATAATTAGTTAATGGTTGCCTCGGACTCGTGGGGGCTTGTCCATTTTCATTATATTTCAGGTCTGTAAAGTTTTAAGTTCTCAATAGTTCAATATTAGCAGGTCGCTCGCCAATACAAATCTCATCAATGGTGCTTGTGGATCCAGAACACTAGAGTAGAGTACTCTGGTCGTCGTGATGGATCTGGATCCAAAAGCTAGTTTTTTTAAAACTACTCCAAAGCTTTCTTCATGGTGTGAAAACCTGTCACAGGAGTAATTCGGCCGCATATCGATCGGCTTCCCCCATTTTTGAGGGAGGTTTAGGCTAGTGCTCAAGGCCGCTAGGCTAGCAAGAATTTTTTCGCACGAATGTGATTGCAACACGCATCTACCTCCTCTACTTGTAATGAAAGAGACGACCTCTTCTACTTTGTCGGAGATCCATCATCGTAATTATAAATATCAGCATTAATATAATAGTGAGATAGACCGAGGAAGACCAAAGGAAATGAAATTCTTTTAACAACGGATAGAAAACACACGGAGCCTAGAACTCACAGCATTAATATAATAGTAATATTAAGAGCCAAACAAGTAGAGACTCGCTCAAGATAGATTAAAAGGGAGCGAAAGACAGGAAGAGCCACACAAGTAAGAGCCAAAGACAGAGGCCAGCGGATTATAGTGGCGACGCTAAAATCAGCTTCTGATGTCAACACCGCCGGGCCTCCTGTCAAGATGTCAGTGACCAAGCCACCTCGCCCATTGTTTAACGGCTGACGGTAGTTGACCAAGTCTCGCCCATGCCAGTTGTTGACGGCTTCTTAATACAAATGCAGAGACCACATTATAATATAGTGATCCCATCTTCTACGATTAGAGCTGGCATCACGGATAAAAAGAGCTGTATCTAGAAGTAGTAGTCGTGCTCAACAAATCATTGGTCGTGAAGATCTACTAGTACAAGTACTCACTACTTCTGAAGAAGATTAGTGAATGGTGCTGGTATTTGGTAACCTGAGTTTGATCCTAAGGGAAAACAAGAAGAGAACCCTTAGGATCAAATTCAGGTTACCAAATACCAGAACCATACAATTAGACACTGTACTAGAATCCACTACAAGTGCTCACTACAAGTACCCACTTCTACGACTACTACAAGTATTCTGAAGAAGATTCCCATAATATGCATCGTTGTAGTACCACTGAAACTGACCCAGAAGCAGAAGAGACTACTTCATTTTCATTCCGCTAAAGTCGCCGTCGTGCTCCTGTCGACATTCTTGGCTGCGGCCCCTGTTGGTAGCAAATTAGGCCATTATCAAGCCCATTGCTCTCAACTGCAAACCGGGCAACTAAACCTCTTCAAGGTTGATTGATTGATTGATTGATTGATGTACCCACTCAACTACACGGGGTGTAACATCTTCAATGAGTTGCAGCAAGTAATGAAACAAGGAGGATGCATGCTGTGGTCCCTGCTGCAGCTACCTCCATCGCTCATGACTCAACTCAGTTGTCATCTTCAGCAAGTACGTAACAACTACCAAGGTTCTAAGAAAGTAGTCTAGTACTAGTAGCTCCTCATCAAAATAAGACTTCTACTCTCCTAGCCTCAGCTGCTGCTCTCTCGTTATCCCCTCGTCAGTAGCTGCCATGATGGAGACATCAACTACAAGGAGTACGATCTAACAATGAAAAGAACAAAAATCAATAAATTTGTCTTGGAGTATAAATGTCTCTATCTACGTCAACACTTTAACCATGATCATGATGCAACCAAGTAGAAGGACTAGAAAACCACGACGCCAACAGCATGGGCCTGCTCTGGTGGTCTCGTACTTCTTGAGTGAGAGAGAGAGTGTGCGATCTACTGGCATCTAGATACCTAAGCGGTTGCTTTATTTGGTATCATCTTCCAACATTTTTATACTAGTCGAAAGTCTTTCTCTTTCATTCCAACGAGGATGAGTCATCATTCATTCATTCATCCAGACAAGATGAGTCGTCATGTCTCCAAATTTTAAATAGCATTAACCACATCTCTGCTCATCGTCAACCGTCGTGCTCTGACTCTGATTGGTAATAATTTGCGTTCATCTTTAGCATGTAGTTATAACGGTGAGCGTCGAGGAAGAGAATTTATTGGCATTCAATTTCAAAAATTCGATTTTCTCTCTGGACCAGATGATAATCAAGTTGTAATAGTTATGATGACTTTGAATGGACTAGATTGTATTTTGTTTTATTTCACTAGTTGTACCCTGAGTTTAGATAACAATAACGAACTACAAGTACAACCAGGTAGTTAAGTAAAAAGTTTACAAAGTGGAAGTGGTGTATAGTTTCTTGATCATGTTGTTTGGCCGACACTGAGTCTAAGTAGAGCAAAAGCAGTAACCAAAAAAAAAAATGCTGATGCTTGTTATTTTTGTGGAAAATTTTATGAATTCTCCTTCTACAACTCCGCCTACTTGTTGTCCAGGTTCCCCTATGGATAGAGAAGTCGTCGGCATCTTTCCGGATAGTAGAACTAGAAGGATAATTATGATCATGATCATTGAGCTTAGCGAGAAACTACAATTTCTTCTAATTACATGTGTCAGTGTCTCCAAGTAGAAGTTGTCCTCGAACATTTTGGGTTGTAAAAATGGTTGGAGTAGAAGAGCCATCTTCAATCATGCTAGATTATATGACAAAAAATCTTATCGTGGCGTTTTTCTTTTCGTTCTACTTCTATCAAGTAGCTTTTACTTCGGAGGTGTCATCTTCGATGTCAAAAAGAAGTGGAAATCTAGACCTGCTAAACTACATACTGTCAAAGTCCAAAATTATTCTCGTCATCATCATGATACTGATACAAGAACAACGCATACAACTGTCAAGAAATACAAATACAAATTGATGAAATTGATGTCATCCAGCGACTAGCTTTGCTGTGTCATCATTGCGTTGATCCTCACCTCGAGACGCCGGGGTTGAAGCGACAACATTGCTAGTAGATCCAGTGCTCGTCACCTGTCGTGGTTGACGTGCAGAATAAGTAGTTGTGTGTGCAAAAGCACACAACCTTAATGATCACGATCACTTGATTCTTGTAGTTGCCTCAACAAGAACAAGTAGAGCAGTAAATACAAATACCAGTTCGAGTTTATTATCCAGCATGGAAATGGATCTATATATAAAAAGCACTACGGGCGTCGCGCTGCGCGCGTCGCTGGGGGCTATTTCTAGAAGGAGAGAGGGAGGGAAGGTGAGGGGAAAAGAAGGAAAGGGCAGGTAAGGGGAGGAGAGAGAAGGAGGGGAGGGCAAAGGGGAGGGAGGCGACGAGAAGAAGGATCACTTTATTCTTGTAGTTGCCTCAACAAGAACTACAAGTAGTAGTAGAGTAAAGAAATAGTAGTTCTAGTTGTAGTAGTTTATCCATGATTGATTTATTTTACTAATAGCAAGAAAGCAAGAACAAATTATAATACCGAGCTTTGTTGTCTGGGTGGAAAATTCGGTTGCATCGTGGCTCCAGTTTGCGCAGCTTGTAGCTGCTGGAGGAGCTGTTGAACCTGCATATTTGGCGGAAGGGTACTAGTGTCTTGCTGTTGTTCGGGAACAGATGTTAGAGCTAGAGAGATAGAGGGAAGAGCACGAAGAAGATTACAATTATCGTTAATAATGGAGGGTCGTGTAGCTCTAATGGGATGTTGTTTAGTCCTCTGAGTAGAACGAACAAACTGTTGATCATGAAAGAACTCAAACTGGTTAAAAGACTTCTTGCAAGAACTACAACGATTATTGATCATACTAGTCGTGAGTAAATAAAATGGCAAATATATCATCAACTTCATCTTTGTTAAGGCCATAAGATTTGCGCTCCTGGTATTTGGAGACTGTTCGATGTCGGACCACTTGTACTTTGTTGAACGTTAATAGTAGACTGTGCCTGGTTCATTCCTAAGAAAGCAGCTCCGCCTACATCTCCTCCTCCTCCGGGATTCATGTTGGGAGTTCCAAGAAGGTTGTTGTTCCCCAGGTTGCTGTTTCCGAGTCCTGCTCCAAGGTTGTTGTTCATGTTGTTCATGTTCCCAAGGTTATTGTTCCCAAGATTGGATAGCAACTGTTGTATGGCCAAGTTTTGGGCTGATATTAGAAGCCCGTGGAGGGATGGATAGGTGGTGGTAGTAGTAGTAGTGTACCCATTCGTGGGGTATTGAAGACTATCTAATTACTTTTGCATAGGGTCGTCATGAGTCTTGCTACATCAATGCGCGAATGCTACAAGAAGAATAGTCCGAGACCACCGAGTAAGATGACTTATGCAGCTACAATAAATAACTCGCACTAGTACAGGTACAGCGTGAAAACAATGTAGTGAAGGCCGCAGGGTGTACTATGATTCATCAGGTAGAAGTGGAGGATTCATCAGTGATAGTTCATAAGGGTTTAAGAAGCAGAAGATTCAATTGCTGCTGTAGAGGATCTACCGATTTTTGTTGATAACTTCAATTGCTGTAGAACTATTAAGCCTACGGTATGATTGTCTAACCCTAAACAAACAGCGTATGGCTCTGGTATTTGGTAACCTGAGTTTGATCCTAAGGGTTCTCTTCTTGTTTTCCCTTATGATCAAATTCAGGTTACCAAATACCGGAACCATTCAAACAAGATTCAACTTAGAAGTATACTTTTTAGTGTCTAACCTGTAAAGAACAATTCCGATTGCTGTAGAAGATTGAACAATTTAGAAGGTTTCATAAATTCAATTGTTGCTGTAGAGGATCTCCCAATGGATTGGCACTCAAACTCATACTGTTCATGATCAAATTGAGGTTGTTCATCGGAAGGAGTGGTGGAGTACCGCTACTGGGGGCTAAACCACTGCCCAAGAGGGAACTGGTACTAGACGCACCCGGACCACCAGGAGCGCCGCCTGCACCATCACTCACACTCGCAGCTGTGCCCTGAAGAAGAGATTGAAGAAGGGTTGTTGTAGGGAGGAGGAAGATTGAGAATTACTGGAAATTACTGGAGTCAGGGACGAATATAAGGGTTTCACGTAGTGGAAGGTTTCTTCACGTAGTGGAATAAAAAACTCGTCATGATTAAGTATACTAGACCACAGCAGAAGCAGTACAACTACTTCTAGAGGAGGTGGAAACTACGGAAACAAGAACGAAAAAATATATAGTCGACGCAGGAAAGATGAATAGCAGAGTACAACGTCAACGTCTCGGTCCACACTTCTAGTACTTAGTTTTAGTTACAAAAAATGATCATCAACACTAATAGTACATCTCCACGTTGTTGTGCTCCATTGTTGAGAAGTGTATTCAGGAGCTGCATCGAAATGTTGTAGGTCGGATTTTGAGGCGCTACACCACCACCAGGCAGAACAGCCGCATTTGGTGGCAGGTGGTTCAGCGTTTTCTGTTGTATGGGAGATGGAGGTCAGCAAGGCGTTGAAAGGGGTTGATTTTTACATACTTAAGTACTTACAGCGAACCTTTCTTCTATCATATCCTCATGATCTGCTCATGATCTGATCATCCTTTATGATCTGATCTTCGGACTTGAAGATAATTTTTAGACGATATTCTTCAACTTCTTGGCATCATCATGATGGACGGTTGTAGTAGTGTTTTGCAGCTGTCTAGAATCTTGATAGACTAAGGAATTGAAAACAAAAGTGACCGAGAGGTGTCTTTTCATAGAATTTATTCAGAGTACGATGATTCAGAATTTATTCAGAGTACTAGTGCGGACTTGTTGAAGATAGAAATACCACAAGTTGAGCCGTCGCTGCCAGCGATTCTTCTGTAGCTTCGCCAAGAATCTGCCTACAGGACATTCCAGGATCTTCACCGCTCCAGGCAAGTGGTGCACCCAGTTCGCTTTCCTGTTTTTGTTCAAGATTTTCTTAAGAAGCACAAGTAGGTAAATGAATGAATGAATGAATACCTGGTACCACACGGACTAGATGAGCGAACCAGTACCACACATGGATGAGAGAACCAGTACCACACGGACTAGATGAAAGAGTGAAAATGACCAAGAAGAGAGAAGGATCGCAATTTTCAGAACTGGATATATTACATTTTAATACTAAAATCGGCCTCACTACTAGGCAAAGTAGAAAGAACCGCAGTTGTGGTCACAAGTAGTTCTATTTTATTAGTACTTCCCCACTATTTTATTAGCACGAAAATAATACATTCCCACATGACGAGCGGAAATTGTTAACGACGTCGGCGAGGGTCCGACGACTTTTTGCTGCCGTTAATCCCGCAAATATAGGCTGCCCAGGCTGGGGACCAATAGCAGCGTTCTGTAGAAGTAGGTCGACGATGAAATTATTTTGATATTAATCCTGAAAATGTCATTATGAAGGTTTTTCATTGTCAAGTCGTTCCAGAAGTAGTCTAAGGCCCAGTGCCTGCTTTTGCTTATATCAAGTTCTAGATTACTTCGACGATGAAATTGTTTTGATATTTTTAATCCTGAAAATGTCATTATGAAGGTTGATGTTGAAAATGTTTTTGATCATCTTGGTGCACGACGATAGGCATATTCTTGTTGCTCGTGTTCGTGTTCCAAAGCTTTATTACCAGAACCAGTTGTACAACTAGAACAACTACAACTAAAAACAGTAATACATAGTAATAGAGTAGACTTAATAACTATTACATCGTTATCTATCGGTGATCCCGACGGACGTGGAGCTGGGGAAGGTAAAAACTCCTGCGCATCAGCACTCAATTGGGCTCCAAGAAGAGTCCTCTCCTGTGCCGATAAAAAAGCCGCTCCTGCTGTGCTTGCAGCTTGTTGAGCTTGAGCTGCGGCTGCACCGTTCAACAGGGTGGCTAGATTTGCGCTCAGATTATTTATGCTGGGTCCTCCAGTACCTCCACCCCCAAATGCACCCGGAAGATTCAACAAATCATTAGAGCTCACTACAATCCGAATCCTTCTTTTGTTCTCGCATCTACTGTCTCCCTTCTTCTACTTACAGATGAGCTAGCTGGACACAGATGAGCCAAAAGATGGATCAATTCAGGCCTTAAAATTGCCACCCAAACCGAGGCTGTTCTGTTGCAATTGCATGTTGTTCAGGATAGTACCTCCGTTGTTGTTCATCTGATTCATACCATTCGCATTCATCAGGTTGCTCATCATGTTGTTCCCGTTTTGTTGCACCAGTTGCTGTGCTTGCGCTTGTGAGAGCAAGGCAGCGAGTTCAGGACTTAGACCTCCTGGAATTCCTCCAGGTTGGACTCCTCCAATGCCGTTCAACCCAGGTCCCATCTTAGGAAAAGCTGCACCAGAAGAACCACCTCCACCAGGGATATTAGTTGTACCAGAGGATGAGGCTCCTGAAGAATTATTCACCATCCCGTTCCCGATGCCAAGTGCCGCTCCGGCTCCTCCTCCAGGGAACATACTACCGGGGCCTCCTGCTCCTCCTGGTACTGGTTGTGGTTGTATGCCTCCTGGTGGTACTAGTATGCCTGCTGCTCCGCCTCGTCCTGCTGGTAACTGTTGCTGCCCTCCTGCTCCGTTGAACATTCCTCCATGACTTTGTTGACAATTTATTGGTGGTGGAAAACCATAGTTCAGCAATTGCGTTAGACTATTCAGATTCAATGACGGCTGTTGTCCTTGTCCTGGTAGGAGACCACCACCTCCAGTGCCCCCTGCTCCTGGAAGATTTTGTAGTTGTTGTGGCAGCCCGCCTGGGCCTCCATTTGCAGTAGGTGTTCCTTGCAACATCATGTTCATGAGGGAACTCGAATTCACGACACCAGCTTGGCCTCCATTAGCGTTCAACATGTTGCTCGGCAAAGCACCTGAAGCTGGCGTACCTGGTGCTCCAGGAGGACAAGCTGCTCCTAGCTGACGTAAGCCATCTACGAGATTCACTGGAGCGCCTGCTGCTCCTCCAGGAGGTTGTACTATAGTACCTCCGAGTCCTGCACCATTCATCATTGCTCCTCCTGGTGGACCTCCTACTCCTCCCGCCGACAACAAACTAGCAGCTGGAGAGTTCAAGTTCATCATTGACTGAGGACCTCCTGCTGACCCAGTAGGGGTTTGCTGCTGTTGGCTCAGATGTTGTTGCAATAGCACCTCCTGGTGGCGCCTGTGATCTCCTCCATTTTCATTGTTACCATAGTTGTTCGCGCCGCCCATAGAGCCGGTGGAGCCTCCAGGTGTGACAGTTAAGTGTCCATTTGCTGGGCTACTGCTGGTCACGACACTTATAGAACCACGACTATTACTAGACGCACTCGATGATCCTGTAGGAAGTCCACCTCTGCTACCAGTGGCGGCATAGTGCTGACCATTTTGATCTTGTTTTCCTCCACCTCCTTTGTTGTACCAACTACCCTTCCCGCTGGAAGATGCTCCTGAGGCTGAGGCGCCGTTGTTGTACCAACTGCCACTGTTTGAAAACTTCCACTCATTGAGAATGTCCATAGGGGAGTGTCGTTCTCCCTTTGGCTTCAGACTTAGGAACGACATTTTTTCCGCCCTATAACTATAACATCAACTTGGGTTCTCAATGAGTGGCATCATACATTGTTGGTCCCGCTCCCCCTATTGTTAGTTGATGCACTACCTCCCCCTCCGCTAGTATTGCTATTGTTAGAACTACCAGAAATCCATCTTCAGGTTCGCATTCATCTTGTTCATCGTCCCACCTTTTATAGTTTTCTCTTTACAACAGGGTCCAACACGATGCCTGTCAACGTGAAGAAGATGGTTTGCTTGTAGATGTAGCTGCCATAATGTAATTGTAATTGTTGTAGTTGTTGCTATAACCTCCTGCTGTACCTCCGCTGTTGCCGCTATATTGTCGATTGAAGCTATCGTTTCCGCCTAAATGCGAACTCCCACGTTGGTGGCCGGATCCGCTTTTTTGGTTCGAGTGTCTCACTGTTTTGTTAGAGGATGAATGAGTGAACGAATGTACCCACTCCAGGGGTATAAAAGACCAGCTGGAGAGGAGCAGTTGATTAACAAGTACAAGTAGAACATCATAGTTTAGTACGAGTAAGTAGTAAACACGACGACCACCACGTCGAGGACAGCATCAACTGGTGGAAAAAAATTAAAAAAGAGAAATGAGATCAGACCCCGACGAGTAGAGTTCTCTACCACCTCGCCATACATTGATAGTCACTGCGGCCCCAGTGTTCCTGCGAAGCGAATCGTGAGGAGCTGGTGCTAGTTGTGCTATTCGTGGACGTAGCAAAGGTGCTCCCGCTCATCAACTGGCTTTTCCGCTGCTGTTGGTTTGTAGATTAGAAGACACAGATATGCTCATGGACGCAGAAGATAGATGACTAAGGGGGAAGTAAAGCAGTATGCATCTAAGTACAACATTCAGAATAAACAAAGAATTGAATGATATTGATAAGAACCTCAGTGGTTGTACTTGTAGAAGCAGTCCCACACCCACTACAAGTCAGTAGACGAAGCAGTAGAATCACAGGCACTAGAAGAGAGAGAGTGAGACGAACAACAAAATGATCAACCACAATGTAGAAGTAGTTGTACCTCTACCTTTAGGCCATCAACCACAACTCTACCTCCTTTAGGCCAACCACAAGAATATATAGAATGACATTTAGGCCATTCTAAGAATGTAGGCCATATCCATATTTCTGATTGCCGTTCAGTGACTGAGAACCCGTGTCTCCTCCATCGGGTGGTGTTCCTCCGCGATCGTTGTAACTGTTGTATCCTCTACCCTTGTTCCGGTTCTTCTTATTCGTATGGGGGACGCTCATCGACGAAGAGCTTTCTCTCTCTGTCACTGAGGATCCGGACAGACCACGAAGATGCGGAGCCTCCTGAAGATGTTGAGAGATTGTTTTAATCGGTATCGGATAAGGAAAAGGTAGGAGAAGCTTTGGTTTTCATCTTGCAGGGAAAGGAACAAGGCCAATCTTCTTTCTTCGAGGTGGATGAACATCAATTATTGTTCCAAGTAAAAAGAAGTACTTGTAAGATGGTCGGTGGTGTTGCATGGTTGTAATTTGACGAGTTTCGCGGCGGCGAAGTGTTGAATTTGTTGTTTTCATTAGAGGTAAGGTGGATTGCCGCGTGGCTTGAACATACTAGCAAAGCGAAGAGCAGGGACGTGGCCTGCCTTGTCACTAAAGTTGTTCTAGTAGAAATAGCCATAAAGTGCATTTCGTATCCCGTAGTAGAGCCAGAAGGTCCTTCTGAAGATTCAGGTTAGAGGGATGACGTCTCCATGTTCAAGCACATCAAGTAGTATCTATTTCAAGGTCCTCCAGTTAAACTCCTGATATATATTGTCCACGACCCAGTAGACCTTATTAAAGTTGGTGGAGCATATCTAACTAGAAAAAACAAAAACCGAAAAAAGAAAAGTCAGGCAAGAACTTATCTACTACTAACTAAGCGCCGGCGCTGTCGTGGTCCTGTCAGCCCCAGAGGTCTCACCTTCGAAGGCAGGCCGGAGCCCTGTGCAACGCCTCCGGTGAGTGCTCAGTTCTATGGTTGTGTGCACAGGTTTATTCGCACTGGGGTACCCAGTAGACCTTATTAAACTTATTTTTCAGTGAAACGAGATCCTCGAGATGTGAACTAGGACAAGACACGGTCCGTCGTCTCATCCTAGACCTAGTACTACTATTCACTTTTGCTCACAGTGAAATTCATCTTCTTGTTCATCATAATGTTGTCTCTGGTTGTTCTGGTTGTCATCCCGCCAGGCACCTCCACCCTGAATGTTTGGGCTCTTCTGGTCGTTCACATTAAGTTGCTGAAGATCTCGCTTTTCCTGCTTGTTTCGCTTATGATTATTTCTGTTGTTGTTTGACGGAGGTTTCTTGTCATCTCTACTGTTGAATGTAGTTGCTCCTGACTGACCTCCTGTCGTCTCTGTGGTAGACCTCCATTCGCCTCCATCGTGATAATCTTCGCCCGCCATGGTCGTGGAAGTGCCTGATGTGGAGGATGAGAAATCATTCATATTGTTCTTTGCTCGTCGTGGAAGTGCTGCCTGATGTGGAGGATGAGAAATGATCATTCATATTTTGTTCTTCCACACTAGTCGCAATGTAGTTGGAGTTTCAGTTTCAATTTATTTTAGGGGGTCCCGCTTCAGCCTGGACGCTAGGCGCGACAGCTTGGCGAAAAAATGGTACAGAACTCTCGGAAATCGGTATTCTTCTTCTTGAGACTATGTACTTAGTTGGAATGAGGATCAGGAGGTTGATGTCCTTATTGGTGGATCTTCCTCTTATGAGTAAGATTCTGAATGAACCTTCTTACCGGATTCTTTGGTGGATCGCCCTCCAGTGCCACGGTTTTGCTCCATGATTCGTTTACTTGCTCCACATCAACATTATTAAAGATTAAGTTGTTCTAGGAACTAGTACTACCTTCAACATTGTATAATATTTGTGGTGGAACTGACCTAACTAGAAAAAAGACAGACCAGATTTCTACTAGGAACAAGAATAGTATTCTTACCTGCTTATAACCTGTAGTTCTTCTAGGAACCTCCTCCTAGACCTAGTGGTAGTGCTTGGTATTCTTTCTTACTTGTGTATTACTTTTTTTCTTGTGTATTACTTGTTACTTGTACTACTAGTTAAATAACTTGTCTGACACTGTAGGAACTACGAGACTGTGACTACGATCGATTGATTGATTATTAATTCCAAAAAATTAGCAATAGCATGTCCATGTGCTTTCCTTCAAAGAGGTAGCGGTAGTCGCACGCTGCTATTGGTATTTTTAACTGCACCAGACGGAAACCACAGAGCAGTCTTGTCGTCCTTTATTCCATGCCGATAGTAGAGAATTTTGATAAGTGGTACAGGCTTAATACGCCTTATGATCCATCAGTCTGTAGAGTAGTATGTAGAGTAGATGCATCAATGATGATGTTAATAATAGCATGCTCGACTTTGAAGTACCGCTAAAAATAAATCATCACTAAATTCTATCAATGATGTAACTAACCGTATAACTGTGATAGTTCTTGTAATCATGCTAGATGATGCAGCTGCTCCTGGTGCCTAAGAGTAGCTCAAAAAAATGTCAATCTTAGTCTATGCTTTTGGTCTTATCAGGTCGTTAGAACTAGATGTAGTTGATCTTATCAAGTAAATTCTTAAACCTATTGTTGATGCATTTGCATGTGATAGAGATGCCTGTCTGATGATGTCGATCCTAGTCAACTGTCTGATGAGTGATGAATTTGAATTGATAAAAGGGTCGCAGATGTTGAACCTTGGTGAAGGTGCGCTACTACGGCCCACGAAAGTCTCGTCAAGAACAAGGAAGATATAAATTCAAGAAAGCAGCTACGTTTTTGGGATGAAGAAGAAGGTGAAGATGATGGAAAGGAAGTGGATCAACTAGAATTTGACTTCACGACTCATTCATTCATTTATTCACGACCTAAGTAGCACGAGGTAGTGATGTCCTCTGAAGATGGAAAATGAGCAGACTCAGATAGAGATGATTATGTAGTTTCGATGTTAACACAACTACCACTACGTCGTCGTCCAGCGCGAGTTTAATTTTCTCACACTCACTGCTTCTTCACGACCTAAAGGTCTCATCGATAGCACGAAGGAAGCATTCGGTCGTGCTGCTCTCACGAACTTTTACTCGTCTCTATTTTCGACATCGACTTCACTAGAAAACGAGATTCGATGCCTACAACGTGACGATGCTAGTTCTGAAAGGCTACCGTTTCATCAGTCTCGTTGATCGAATTTAGAAGACGAAATTTTGTGTGCTCTTTTTTATTTTGTATTCGAAAAACTGAAATAAGCGAGTAACTACTTAGAATAACGGAGATGCTGACGAGAAGGAAGAGTAGCCCTGTCAGAGCTACCTCCCTTATTTCAGTCAGTAACTCGCTTATTTTGAGTTTTCGATTACTACTAGTTGTACGCTTCCGTCGTACTACCAAGAAGAACGACCGTCCTTCAGAAAAAGTCGAAAAAAACATCCGACTAAAGTAGTAGATTGAAGTACAAGTACCTGAAGATTTCCTTCTGTCAGCTGCACGACCAAGCCGTACTGGATTCACGGTTTCTAGGCAGTAGATGTCTGCAGCATCGACTAGCAAATGCTCCTTAGCATTGTCCACAACGAGGCACTTTCCCACTGGATCCCAGGCTTTCAGGGGCAATGAAGTAGAGATAAAGAAGTAAAAAAATACTTACCATAGAATGGCTGTACTATGCCGTTTCAAATCAAATGTAACCCTAAGCAACATTGAAAATTTCTTATTGTTTGTACTTGTTCTTCAACAATTCGATCATGCTCGTCGTTAAGAAATCTCAATAACGCTATCAACGTGCAGCGATTGTCTCCGTAAAGTCCCCAAACAAACCTGATGGTCTTGCTTCAATGTTATCCTCACACTGGCGCCAATCATTGCAGTCATTGTGAACGCAAGGCCCGCATCTTTTCCTCGTCCCATCTTCATCTTCACCTTCATCTTCGCCTCTTCTTCTACAGCAGCTTGTAGGCGTAGTACTAAAAATACTGGCCTCGTCCTCTTGGTATCTGTGATTTTATCGATCTATAGTCGTCTTTTTATTTACGCATAGATACGCTTATAATCAATGCTTAATACAAATTTTTATACCTGTACTTTTACAACTTTTACACTTCTAATTCGTTCATTCACTTACCCGTTCTAGAGGTATCTTTTGACGCGAGGGGGACGCCGAGAGGTGGGTGTAACTTAATTTCAACTACAATGGCAAGGCCTCAGGGTTAGTTACCTTAAAACTTGAGTCCTTCTTTCCTTAGGCTAAAATGCAGTCAGTCTCTAGAAGACGGATTTGTGTATTACTAATTCAAAATTTGAACTTCGCTTTCATCCTATCACTTTTAGTGTATCTATATTTATTATTATGGCAGTTTTTGCTTACAAGTCCTACCGCTCCGGACCTGATGGTTTACGAAGCCGAGGCGTTGGGCGTCTCATGTTGTCTACATGGTCGTGGGCGAGTATCGTTTACTTGAGACGATTGCAACTCCTGCATTCTCGTGGTCTTTATTTCCCTACCTACTTATATTCAAGAATGAAGTCATAGTCATCAAAGAGAGGAGGATGTGTAACGCGAACAGTGGAATAAAAAAGATAATCGACGTGGTGGTCGACGAAATCGAGAAAAGTGTATGTATGCAGAGAAGGTTGTGCCAATGACCCTTGATTGAGAAAAGGAAAATTTTTATGTTCTTAGTACTTATTTAGTGTTCAACTGATTCTTAACAGCACCCCTTGAAGAGGGATCCTCGACGTTACTAGTGCTTCGGAGGGTTGAAAAAAAGTTGGAATTAGTTGCAGATGTTGAACAAAATTAGAGCTTGTCTTGTTGATGGTGGAAACATGCTACTTATGTATTAATACTTACTACAACTGCTTTGGAATGTTCGGAATCAAGATTAGTAGTGCTGTTGGTGTTGAATCGTCATCCTCATCTTGCCTTTCTTAGCTAGCACAGATCGCATATCCAAAACACAAACGTTCTTCACGCTCTTGTTGGTTGTATTCGAGACAAATACTTTCTGGTTCGTGGATGAGGACGCACAGAATCAAATCACATGTGACACGATTTACAGCGACGCCAGAAGATGTTGATAGAGACCGACTCGACGTCTCTTGTTGAAGAACAGTGTGAGTGCCTTAACCAAGAGGACTAGGCCACTAGCTTAAATAGAGGCTGCATCTGCAACGACATAAAATTATACTTTGACGAACCACGACCAAGAGGCACTGCCCGAACACGAATAAGCTGCCAGCCGTTTCCTGCCTCCCCGTGCACTTCTGAGGGGGCACCAGTCGGAGGTGCCACATTTGATTTACTCTTCTTTTGATATGATCCTGTTGAAAGGTATCTATTAGTTGTTGTCTTCATGGTCTTCGGGTAAAAAAAGTACAACATAGGGGAGCATCCACTTGATGTAATATGGCCCAACAAGCGTCTCAATTGCCAATGCCATTCCAAATGCCGTGCCTAAGAAGGAGCACTCAACACCACATTACGTCGTCATCTCATCTGTGACGCATTCGCACTAGTTGTCGGACTAGTACCACCACCTGTTCCAGCCGCACCTCCCCCAAATAATATGCCACCCATCACTGCACCACTACGTAACCTTCTTGCGTTCCGTAACTTCCGCCACACACTTGTACTCATCTTCTCTCCGCCAGAGCCGTCCTCTCCGACACTAGCTGCCCTAGCTGACGCCGTTGCCGCGTTCTTACCGAGCGACCGAACTTGGGCAGACCTTTTCTGAGCCTCTTTCTCCATTCTGCTCAAGGCTGCGCCAACTTCGTCCTCCGATGAGTCGCCGTCTTCAGTAGAAGTTGTATCGCCTCCATCTCCGGGAACTGCCTGTCCCCTAGCGCCACCCTTCGGGGAAGACGACGGAGAAAAGGAGGACATCTTCTTCTTTTTAGAAGTGCCACTAGGAATTATGTTACCGCTTTCCGCTGCTTGCGCATCCGAAGCAGCTTCCTCTTCAACCGCTGGTGCCGCAGTTTCCACAACAGGTTGAGCTGTATTGCTGCTTGAAACAAACGTATTATCGGCTGTTGAGTTGTACATTGGGTCACCTCCTTCTTGCTGTAGACTTGCCCTCAGTCCCTTCGCTAAGCCCCCAAAGGATTCCTGTAACTTCGACTTCATGCTCGAATCCACTTGCACGAGTCTTCTTTTGCTCTTCTTTTCCCCCTGCATCTTCGTCAAGGCTTTGGATTCTGCCACTGAACTGTTCAGAACCGCGTTCAGACTCTTGATCACAGACAAGTAATCCTCTTTTTGCATCCGATTCAGCATTTTCTTGCTGCCCTTTACTTTTCCTTGACGCACAGCTTCTTCTTGCACTTCACGCCAGAAATCACTGCGAGCAATGGCCTCCGCACTCTCCTCGATCATGCGGTCGTCGTGTTGCTGTGGGGTGATGCATAGACGAGATAAATTCTGATGCTTTAATCAACATCGAGAGCGAGATCATGAATAGGGCCTTTTTCCTGAGAGCAGAGATTGAAAGTCAACCACTGCGACGAGGGCCAAACTAACCACGCGACACCAACGAACATGAGAAGGTGAACAAGATAATATTTATAGATACGAACAAGAAAAAAACATCATAAGGTGAAGTAAAAATGAACAAGTACCCTAACATGCTTTTGTCTCTTTTCTATCGCCGACAGCATGCTTTGATTGTAGTACATTCTCAGTTCGAAGAGTGTTTCTTCATCCAAAATTGGGTTATTCCCCGCCGCACCTGCTCCTCCGTAAAGCTTGTGGAACATTTTACTCTCGCTCGCCAAGTCTGCCCGCAAGGACTCTTCTGATCGCAATCTCAGAAGTTCCTCCAACGCAATGCCTCTCAAAAACTGCTGGAACGGATCCATGCCTTGAAGAGCCTGCTCTTCCTTCCTGGAAGCGTTGAGGGCGTCCTTCTGTTTTTTCTGCTTCTTCTGCGTAGCATGCTCTATGCGTTCCCTTTCGAGACGCTCTAAAAATTCACCAGTCCGATGAAAGAAGTGTTTGCTAGGTCGCTGCCACCTGCCTTTGAGAGGAGGAAGAAGCCCATTGTAGGGCAAGTGGGCAAGAATGTCCTTGATGCCCCAATCGGATGGGTAAGTACGTGTTCTTGATGATGGGTCATCCCGGTGCTCTGAAGATGGGGTCGCTTTTTTACTCTCCAACATCGACAATTCATTGTCGCCTTGTTCTTGTTCTTCTGCTTCTTCTCCAGCTGTTCCTGTTGTATCCTGACTTTGACGTTCTTTGTCTTCGTGCTGCAGAAGCTCTGTCACCAAACGATCGCGAAACTCCTCTAACGCCTCTAACTGTCCTTCGGCATCAGCGTCTTCTCCTTCTTTTTCATCAGTTTCTTCATCTACAACAGCTTCCGCATCTTCAGGCTTCACAAGGATTGAATTCTCATTCAAACTTTTATCCGTTCCGGGAGGAGGACAATTATCTTCATACGTCGCCCCCTTATTGATAGAAGCCGACGTTGGCATGAAATGTTCGTTGTCGATATCTAAAGATGCAGCTACATCGAGAATAGATTGCTCGTCCAGCATCAGACTCAAGGTGCTGAGAGCGCTGTTATGTGCCAATTGCAGTGAGTGGTTGTGGATATTTCCACCATCTGGTAGAAGGTCATCCCCCTCTCCCGCCATTAGTGACAGAGTTGATAACCCTTCAGCGCCTGCGCTAGCGTTAAGAATATCCTGAATCGAAGCATTAGGGGAAAAAACAAGGGTGGACGTCTCATTCGCTGCCAGGGGTGTGGGGCCTGCAATCACAGTTCTAGTTGTGCTTCTTCTTCTAGGAGCAGCAGGAGCGCCAACCAGCGATCTCAAATCACCTAGTCCTAAGACTTCATAACCTGCACTTTCGCCTTCAGCGTCTACGATGTAAAGAGCATCTCCTACACGTTCTTCTTCGGCATCTTCAGTCTTTCTCATCAGCCCTGGAAGCAGTGGGGAAGCATACCTTCTTCTAGGAGGCTGTTCTCCTGGTGTTTTAAGGTAAGGTGAGGTAGACGAGATTCCTCCAGGTCCAGTGCTGGACACCTTCGACTGCTCTTCCCGCAAACACGACAGCTCTTGCATGGACGAACCTTCTTGCAAGGAATGCAAGTGTCCACCGTCTTCTTTTTTCAAGTAGGACATAATCGAGCCACCTGGACTCCTAGCTGCTCCTCCAACGCCAAGTTCACCACTCCCGCTGTTGACATCATAGTTGTTTGCGCGTTTTAGTAATCCATTCCTTCCCCTGACCATTTGCTCTCCAAGAACCTGCACATCCACATGCATTCCTCCTCGATCATACTCCACATTTCGCAGTCTCCATGCGCCTGCTGGCCTCGATTTGTGTCTCTTCACTCTCGTTTCCACATGTCGGTAGCGATTGTCGACGATCTTTTGGTGAGCGTCATCGATGTCACTGGTGTCACGCATGCTGTACCTGAAGGCCCGATCCCCAAAGGCCTTAGATTCGTCTAGACGGTCCCTTTTGGCCCGTTTGTTTAACAGAAGTCGATGCTCTTGTTTAGCTTTGTCAAGTTGCCATTGTGCGTCGGTCTTCACTTTGGTGGTATTGGGTGTGTCGCCTTCGGGTGCATCGGAGGTAGTAACTTCTAGTGGACCCCCAGGGGTTGTCCATGGACGGGTCGGCTCCACTAATATTTCTTCCTTTTTTGTCGTACTACTCTCGACTAACACTAAGGGCACGTTTGGTCCAGCTACAGTTTCCTGGAAGGCTGCATCCAATATCGCAGCCTCTACAATAGCGGTGTGTGGTCGTCGAGTAGGAGAGACCGAAGTACTAGGTGCTAGCATCAGAGGACTCTCAGTCCCTGTCCTTCCGAGACTCTCAGTCCCTGCCCGTCCCAACAGTGCTCCCTCAATATCAAAAGCATTTGAGCCATCTCCTATCGTTCCAGAACCTCCCACACCTGCAAAACGCGCACTCGATCTCCCAGTTGCAGACGCTCGTTTCAGGCTGGTTCTTCTTTCTGTTGGAAAATCAAATCCGATGGGTTCTTTGCTCTTCTGAAACAGGTTGAGGTTTTCTAAATGCCGCACACGATTTTGCTTCCGTATAAGTCCGCAATCAGGCCCGACCAGGGGGTCTTTGTCTTTCGCAGGAGGCCGGTCCCCCCAACCGACATCATAACGGGGAGCAAAGGAGAAGAACATGTTCTTGGTTGATTTCGTTGATTGCACTTCTTGCAGCTACTATTACTATTTTATAGCTATGGCTATCTTCTGTCAATGATGTCCAAGGTTAGACGAGATTTCTTCAAAAGGAAATCAGAAGTAAGATCAGTAAACAACAATGCCACCAGGCAGCGCAAATTCATGTCAGCTGTAGCATTGTTCTTCCCGGATGAACTACAAATCCATGATCTCCTTATTGATGTAGTAACCCACGACTAGTCGACGCACCATCATGTTGTAACTAGATCTTCTAGTACCGGTAAGCAATCATGCAAAAATACTCCACAAAGTCAAAGCATTAAAAAAGGCGCCGCGCATCGAAGTGGCTACGATCACGTTACTTACACGACTGCAGCCGCTACCTAATCGTAATCTTCATCGAAAAACAAGGTGGGGGGGTGCAACATCAACATCATCAACAGGTAGCCATCCTGCGCTAGGATTTCCTGAACAAATCGAAATCAAGTTTTCTGAATGGGAAAGATGGAATAACTAGGAGAACCAGTGATATCAGGTGTAGCTGGATAATTTCCCACGTGTCGGGACAGAGGGCATTTTTGCCCGATGCAACAGATGATAGTTCTTGAGCTCGAAACTCACATCAGACATTGATGATCGCTCTTCGTCTGCTCATCTCCTCTCCGGACAGACTTTAATAAGTGCGAGATTAGCTACAGAAAGAAAGCTCGGTTTGCTATAAGACAGAAACACCAGATAAACTAGTACCTCAAGAAGCAGATCCTCTATTCATCCTACAATTTTCTCATCGACAACCTCCCGGAGGTTACCACCAGCGACACAATAGCCCCTCAAGATTTTTTATTGCCCTTCTCCTCTGTCGCTACTGATTTTTGATCCGTAGTACTGCTGCGGTCTATCCGTACTGCTCCTGAGTCTGAAGAGAGAGAACGAATAAACACTACGACGCACCGATCACACCAAGACTAGTCATGCATGTCGTGCTCTGCAGTTTCTACTTTCCGTATAATAACAAGAAGTACCTTCTTTTTTTCTAGTCGTACAACATGAAATCAATAAGTCACAATCTTCTAGTACAGTGCAAAGTTGTAGTTTTGGATGGAAGCGGATGGAAACGAAGACTTTCATTAATCTCATACGGAGTACTTACTTGGTATGTGTGTAATGTCTCTTGTTGGGTTTGGTGTGCTTGTGTAGTAGCTAGTCCTAGCCGTAGTAGTACGACAAATTTGTATCATATTTTTTCCATTGTGATCATATAGACTCTGTCGTTCTTGTTGCAACAATGCCTCTCTCTATGTACGATTACGTTTATGAATATGTACTATTAACTTAACATTCTTTGTTCAGCACTCAATAGACGACGCCAGCAACCTGCATGATGATTACAGATAATAAATATCGATATGTGTCTTACATGACAGCACGTGTGCTATTGCTAGTATTCCGCGAAAATAAGAAGAGTGATGGAAGTTGATAGATTGAAGTCGTTGTACTTACTTAGTAGTATCGCGAAAATAAGGATTTTGATAGACGCTCACTTCAGATTCAGAAAACAAAACTACCTTCTTGCGTTTCTAATAAGGAATTTAAATACTTCCTCCAGTGGGCTTCCTTTTGTTACTGCCCCAGCTCTACTGCTGGAAACACTGCCGCCACTGTCACCTAGAAGGATCAACTAAGACTCCTTACACAGAGGAACGCACTGCGCCATATTCCCCCGCGTCCTCTGCCACCGAAATCGCTTTGCGCTGCGTGGGACCCGATTGTTAGAGTGAAAGTTTGATCTCGAGACCAGTCATATTAATCAAAAGGAGTTTTCATGGGGATTCTCTGTATCGTCAGCACGAAGGAAATGCACTCAAGTTATCTAGTGTCAACCGCGCGTAAGTTTCTTCTGCAGGCGAGGGGGCACCAGGCTGGGCTCGATACAACTTCTTGAGCAACCAACGACCGAAAAAGAAGATGAGCAACAGGGCGACGGAGGAGCACGCGATGACACAGCCTCCGTTCCCAAGCGGCAACGAGGACACCACGTGTGCAGAAGATGTCTGTGTGACTACACCGATTCGCGGGTTCGAAGCCATCGCAGAAGACTCCACGGAAGGGGTGTCATCATCGTCACCCGCAAAAGCCACATCAAAGTGCGCATCATACCCAAAAGCGATCGCAGTTTTCTGGGCGAATGATCCTGCAGACACGGCCTCGGTGCCGCAGATGCCTGTTGGTCCACCTGCACCCGTAGATGCTGAAAGAGGTGATGTGTAAAATGTAGTGCTAGTGCAATTGTAGATCTTGTTAGCAAATGAAGATCACTGTTCTTGGAATGGGACCACACGGTAGATTAGCAGTTGATAGTTGCTGAAAATCAAACCTGAATGGGATGAATGCCAACTACCGAGCGACAAGAAAAAGATTGATTTGTGTATCCAATTAGCTCAAGCTGTAGCCTGTGCAATACGTGGGACTGTGATTTCCTTGGGATTTGCAGCTCCTCTTGATAGGTCTTGTAGCATGACCTTGCGGTCTTCCTCGCAGAGCAAGTCTAAACGCATCTCCTGAGGGTCCCCGTTGGTTTCAATATCTCTACCTCCACCATAACCATAGCCATACTCGTAAACCTCTTCTACATGACGACGAGTGTTAATGGCGACACGTAAATGTAAACAAGTCGTTTTCTCAGTAGCCTGCTTCGCAGACAGTTGCACTTGGGTGGGTCTTTCTTGGCAGGCCCGTGTGGCATTCATTAGAGGCTTTTGGATGAGTTTTATCAGAGGCTGAGACAGTGCCTCGTGTAGTTGCAACTGTATATAATTTTGTGATTAATAACGATAAATTAAAATTCTTATAAGTTGATAGATAAAAAACATAACAAAAACAAAATCTATATTATTAATCTATACTATTAATCTCCGCCGCCACAAAACTCCCCGCCTAAGCCACCGGAGATTAGTCGCCTCCTGCCGCGAAGCTATTGGCCATAGCCTCCCGCCCTTTCCCCTCACTCCTAAGCCCGATAGTCTCCGGCCGTTTTCTTGTTGCAGTTCGCGTTGCGGCCCCGTGGCAGACTACCAGAAAAGAAGCCAGAAAAATGCCCGACGGGGGTAGGGGCGCAAGCTGGCGAGAGAAGTCCAAAGAGAAACAGCCGAGGCAAGACCTTCGACCGAAGACACCTGGACCCCAGACCTATGGACCAATGGCGATCTTTGGACCGAAGGCGGCCTTCAGACTGAAGGCGATCTTTGGTCCGATCTTTGAACCAAAGGCGATCGTTGGACCTACCAGAGACGATCTTGGGACCAAAGGCGATCTTGGGACCAAAGACGATCGCTGGACCAGCGGCGATCTCTGGACCAAAGGCGACCTTTGGACCAGAGGCGACCCCTGGACCCAAGACGACCTTTGGACCACAGGCGACCTTAACCTTTGGACCACATCCACCGGCGACCTTTGGACCACAGGCGACCTCTGGACCACACCAGACGACCGCTGGACCAAAGTAAGGCGAGCTTTGGACCAAAGTGCGACGACCTTTGGACCAAAGTAAGACGACCTCTGGACCAAAGTAAGGCGACCTCTGGACCAAAGTAAGGCGACCTCTGGACCAAAGTGAGGCGACCTTTGGACCAAAATAAGGCGACCCTTGGACCAAAATAAGGCGACCTTTGGACCAAAGTAAGTAAGACGATCTTTGGACCGAAGGCGATCCTTGGACCAGGGACGATCTTTGGACCAAAGACGACCTGTGGACCAAAGACGGCCCAGCGTTTTTTGGACCAGACGCGACCTGTGGACCAAGGGCGACCTTTGGACCAGAGACGACCTCGGGACCACAGGCGACCTTTGGACCACGGCAGACCCCTGGACCAAAGCCGACCTTTGGACCAAAGACGACCCTCGGACCAGAGGCAACCGCTGGACCACAGACGACCCGCAGACCACGGGCGACCTTTTAAGGCGACCTCTGGACCAAGGTAAGCCGACCGCTGGACCAAAGTAAGGCGACCGCTGGACAAAAGTAAGGAGACCTTTGGACCAAAGTAAGACGACCTTTGGACCATGACCAAAGTGCGGCGACCTCTGGACCAAAGGCGACCCTTGGACCAAAGGCGACTGTTGGACCAAAGGCGACCTTTGGACCACAGGCGACCTTAACCTTTGGACCACATCCACCGGCGACCAATGTAGATCTCCGACAAGACAAGAGACCCGCGACGGCAGACATCTGACGAACGACCTCTGCCAGAAAAACTGCCGCCCGACCTGTGGCGAGAAGCCCTACCTCGACGAGGATAGCGAAGACCTTTGACGAAGGACGTCAGTCCGACGAACGCGGTCAGTCTGGCGAAAAACGTCAGTCCGACGAAAGGGCAGAATCAATCTCACGGAGGAAAGACATCCGCAGCCCGAAGAAAGGCCCCGCGCAGCCTGTCCCGCTTCCGACGCAAGGCAGACGCCTGGCGAAGCAGTGCGCCGGCCTGGCGAGGGGCGTCACCTGGCTGGTCAGTGCATCAGCCTGACGAACCAACGGCGCCATGCTGAAGCAAGCCATCAACCTGACCAAAGGCGTGAGATTTGGCCCGGCGAGGAAAGTCGGCCAAGCGAAGCGCTTCAGTCTGGCGAAAGGCGTCAGCCTGGCGAGAGACGTCGCCCGACCCTGACGAAGGGCCTCAGCCTGGCCCACGACGTCCGCCGAAGGGCGCCGGCCTGTCGTCCGACGAAGACCGCCAGCCTCGCGCAGCGCGTTGGTAAGACGAACGGCATCAGTCTGATGGAAGGCCGCAGTCTCCATCCTGGCGAAAGACGTCAGCCAGTCAAGAGGCTTCAGCCACAACCCGAAGCACGACGCCCCACGCCCCCGCGAAGTGCGCCCGTCTGTTTCTGACGAGAGACATCCGACGAAACAAAGAAGCCCCGCCAGGTGTAAGCGCGTAGAGAGACCCGAACAGCGCGGCCCTGCGTTGCTTATGCTTTGTCCTGTTTGGCCCGCTAAAGCCGCCGCCCATTCAGGTTCTTGCCTGGCGCCACCGCGAGGCGTTTGCGTGCGTTGGGGCTTGCGGATTCTTGTGCATGTCTGGTGGCCCTCTTCTGGTTTTTTCGTTGGACTGCCGTGGGGGTCTTGCAAATTCTAAAGAATTTGCATAAACCCCCCGGCAATCTCATAAAAAAACCGAAGGCAGCGCCGCAATGCCCTGCACATGAGTCGACGCATCGATCTGAGTCGGCCACCGTCGGCGCTCGGCTCTTGTCGTAGTTAATTCGTAGGGTGCAACAGCTCACCCGCGGGCTGTCTCTACTCTAGCGGCTGTAGCCCGTGGGAGGCTGCAGAAAAGTGCTTAACTAACTTGAAGCCGGGCGAAGCTTGTGGAGGCTA